GGACAATTATCATAGACATATATGAAATAATTATGTGAGATCTCAATATGTAGAAACCTATAGAAACACGTGACATAATTTTAAGCAAAATAAAAATGACTGTCAAACATATATGACACATTTACATGAAACTAGGTGCACCTAAAATGCATTACTTAATAAGTTTGATTACGATGAATTTTGTAAGATCTTCTGAAAGCAGGCATAGCTGGAGTCTCGAAGAAAGTAGCAGCTTGGTTTTAGAAGAGAGTGCCAAGTAGCATTATTTTACTAAAAGAACATGGAATCTGAGTTATAAAAGATAAGACAATTAATTAGTATAACCTGTGTTTACATTGAATCATAGGTTCTTAAGTGAACTTAATAAGATAAAACTCGAAGTTCGGTTTCTCAGAAAACAGAAAACCTGGAAATGAATTTGTAGTGAATGGAAAAACTTAAAACAGGATTTTTTTTTTTTTTAATAAAGGCAACAAACAGCTGAATGAAATAAAACTAACAGAGGAATAGAATTGAAGGAACAGGAAAAACGAGTGAAGCTCAGGGGTTAGGAATCAAACCAGGTCCTTTGGAGGAACAAACTGCTCTTAACCATTAAGCCATTTCTCCAGCTGGAATAAGAGAAGAAAAATCTCCAGATGACCATAGAGCTCATACAAGAGTCACAGTAGGGAACTGATAGGTAAACAGAGCCTTTGTTTTTGGCCAAACCTGTTTTTTGGCTTTTTGAAGGTGGGTTAGACTCGCTTGCCTGTGCTTTTACGACTTAACTGTGTGTTAGCAAACACAGAGTTTTTTCAAAGAGTAGAACAAAAGCCGGAGGGGATCCAGGCACCTGTGAAGCTGCAGCCCCCGTGGCAGCTTTATTTTTGAGGTGGTAGGTACAATTGATTATCTAAGATAACATATCCCAAATAAGTATAAGGCACATGTTTTTGAATCTTTTTTGAGGAGATATAAAGTCCATATTTTATTAAAATAGTCATTAATTTAGTAAGCACAGCTTCTAAAAGTTAAATAGAAGGGTGACTAAGGAGAATATCATCAATACAATGAATGAGAACAGCAGGGAATTCCTTAAGTATTGGTCTAACTAATCACTTTATGTAGAGAAAATTGGCATATAGTAGGACTACTTTTCATTTCCGGTGGTAGGACTTTCCATTGATACCTCTGTGTGGGAACAGAGTGATTGTTGACAGGGATAGTGGAATCAAAACACTCCCTATCCTCAGGATATAAAGGAATAGAAAAGAACAGTCTTTTATATCAATTATTATAATAGCATGTCCTGCAGACACAGCTGCAGGAAAGGGAAGGCCGGGCTGTAGTGATCCCATATTTTTTATAGTGGCATTAACTTTTAAGTCTTGTAAAAATCTCCATTTTCTTTTTGTATTCTTTTGTATTACAAATATAGGTGGGTTCCAGGGACTGTTAGAGGGCTCTAAGTGCCCTTTATCTAATTGTTCGTGTATAAGACCCAGTAGATGAGGTAACTTATTACTAGAAATAGGCCATGATAGGGACTGGTAAGACTAGAGTGAGGAAATAATTCCTCCTACCTCCAGGAGGGGGGGGGCTTTTTTGTGGGCTAATGTGACGGCCAGTCCTCATGTCTAATAATTGATTGATCAGCCCCTGTATCTAACAGACCTCTTATAGCAATTCCTTGTACTATTAGGGTCATTGTAGGTTTAAGGTCAGACATTACAGGGTGAGTCCATAATGCCCGGGGCAGGGGGGTTTACTTCCACCGAGGCTGTTGACCCTCTTGGTTGCAGGGCTGAGGCCTGTCCCATCTCTCATTTAAATTTTTGTTATTTTTGTTGAAGTTAGAACTGCAATCTCTAGCCCTATGGAATCTTTTTAACATTTAGGGCATTTTATATTTGTTTTGGGTCTCAAGCCTGACCATGAGGGATCAGGTATAGGCTTGCAATCTATGAGAGGGCATTGTCTTGCAAAGTGACCTGTTTTTCCACATGTAAAGCATGGGTCTTTCATTTGGGTAGTAAAAGCTTTTACTAACACTGTTGCCATCATGCTAGCCTGTGCTGAAACTATGCCTATGTCCTGAGTAGCTGTTACCCAGGAAGACAAATCGTGATTTTTTCACTGGAGCCATTGCTGCTTTATATTCTTGATGCAAGCCATCATAAGTAAGTTGTTTTATTAAAATTTGGGTGGCTTCTATGTGAGGGACCTTAGCCTCTATTGCTCGCTGGACCCTAGCTAAGAATTCAGCCCATTGCTCCTGTGGCTTTTGTTTGAGATCAGCTAAGCTAGCTCAGGCTATCTCACCATCCAGTGTGGATCTCCAGGCTCTCAAGGCACCGAGGCGCACCTGATCAAAATATTGAGCTGGTAAAACCTTTTGTGTCTCAGCATCAGCATATCGACCTTTTCCCTTAAGCATGTCAGCTGTCATATCAACATTAGCTTGAGCATTTCTTGCTGCCTGTTCAGTGCATTCATCATAGTATTTAGACTTAAAAAGGAGCCATTGTCCCAGGGACAGGGCAGCCTGGGCGAGGTGTTTGAAGTCCCAAGCAGTGACTAATTACGGCTAAGCTGATCAAAGATGGCCATGGTAAAGGACCATACATACCATTTTCCATCACCACCTTGTGCATTGCTTTCAGCGTTTCAAAGCCAAAAGGACTATGCATTCTAAGTTCAGGGTTGTCAGCTGCCACATGGCCAGCTGGAATGTGAACTGGGAAGAACTGAGGGGAAGCCTACGGCAAGGGAGCCAGAGGTTCTCTAGAGAAAGTGTCTCCTGTGAGAAGATTTTGAAACATGGGAAAGAGAGAGTCAGGGTCAGAAGCAGAGGGCAAGGTATAAGAAACATATGCCATGGGGAATGCCAAGGGAGAAGGAGATGTGGGGAGAGATCCCAAAGTGGGGGCCAACTCCCCCTTTCTAATAGAATTAGAGGCAGGTGGTTATGTTCCCAGAGGCTGTGCCATAGCAGGAGGGAGCGCTGGCAGCTTCACAGCACCCAGAGGAGGTGCCAGCAGCTGAGTAGCAGCCTGAGAAGGTTCCTGCTGTTGGGCTGTTGTGGAGGGAGGACTGGCAGTTTTTTTTGGAGGTGCCTGGGCCACAGAGGGAGGGGAGTCCTCTTCTATTTGGAGACACTGGAAAAGAGCAGAGCAGAGAGGGAAATAGAAGACAGGAACAGTCTTTCCCTGCTTTTGATAATTCTGTACATTGTCTCCTACTCTTTTCCAAGATTCCAAGTCAATAGTTCCCATAGCAGGAAACCAAGGATTACATTCTATAGTAATATCTAAAAAGGCCTTAATCTGCGTTTCTGTACATTTAATTCCTCTAGACTTTAGCATGCATTTAAGAATAGATTGGAAGTGAGACACGTCTGGAGAGAATTACCCATATTTACAATTGCCCCTTACCTATGAACCAGCATGACAGGGGGATCCGATCAGCCGAAGGGGGAGGATTGCTCTGTCCGCAGTGAAGCAGAGGTCCAAGAGTGTCCCTGTTTCAGGTGCCAGTTGTCAGGACTCAGGTTTGCTTTGCTTAGTGGGGGACCTACTGGCTTCGGGGCAGAGGGTCTGATTGGCAACAGAGTCATAAACTCTGGGACCTGTGTCTTCCCAACAGGCCAATTTATTTAAAATTCAGATGGTTTTTATACACCCCAAGGAATTAGAAGTCACATGGGATATGGCAGTCATGTACAAAGATTTAGGGTACAAAGAAACAGGACATTTAGTCTGTTAGTTGGCACCAGAAGGATTCTTAAACTTTTACTCAAGGTTATCAATGCCCATCCAGTAATTTATTGGCCACAATGTTTTCTTTCTTAGAGCTATAAGCATGGTCAACTTTTAGCTTTTAGCTCAGGAGTAAACCTTTAACCTGGCCTAATCTCTTAGCCATGGATAGCTGAGTTACTTGTTCAGGACAAGGAGATGAGCTAAGGGTTGTTGACCAAGACACTTTCCCACAGAGCAGGGAGCCTGCACTGTTATGACTGGGCCCCTTCCTCCTGCCAGTCTAGCAGTGTTCTGCAGGACAGGGATTATCAGAGGCAGTGTTTTCAGTGCCCCTCCCTTTAGCAGAGAATGCAGCCTAGACCTATAAGTTTTAGGCTCACCTCACTCTAGGGCCTGGCATCCTAGTTTCCTACAATTCTCTTTATTTTTTTAAATAAAAATGTTTTTGAAACAGGGTCACATGTAGCCCAGGTGGCTTAGAACTTGTTATGTAGCCGACGATGGCCTTGATCTTCCTACCTCTACCTCCCAAGTGTTTAGATACCAGGCATGTACCACTATTGCAAAAAGAGAGAGACGAGAGAAGAAAGAGGAGAGACTGTTAGTGCAAATGCCCAAAGATGAACAGTCTTAGTGTAAGTGTCCAGTGATCCCTCCAGGCACGAGCCATTGTGGCTCATGCCTTTAATCACAGCACTTGGGAGGCAGAGCCAGGTGAAAGAGATCAAGGCCAGCCTAGTCAGCCTGGTCTACATAGTGAGTTCTAGGCTAGTTGTGGCTACAGGGAGATCCTGTCTCAAAAGATTAAAAAAAAATAAATAAAAAAGAAAAAGAAAAAGAACTCAGATGTCACTGGACATGATGGCTTATGTCTGAAATCCCAGTACTTGGAGGCAGAGGCAGGAAGGTCACCGTGAGTTCAAGGCCTTGCCTGGGGTCTCCCTGTAGCCCTAGCTGACCTGAACTCATTATGTAGACCAGGCTGGCCTTGAACTCACAGAGATCCGCCTGCCTCTGCCTCCCGAGTGCTGGGACTAAAGGCACACGCCACCACGCCCGGCTACAGAGTGGCCTTTTTCCAAAAAAAGCAAAACAACTCTCAAATGTGGAGTGGGCGGCACTCCGAATGGGCATCACTCTGCTGACAGTTAACACTGCTCCCTCCTTTTCCTCTACAATTCTGCAGAGTAACCTGATCCATTCCCTGGGGCTGAGCCACCACCTGATTGCACTGAATTTTATCATCCTTTCCTTTGGCAAGAAAAGCGCACAGTCCTCTGCACACGTGAAGGTGACGGACACGGACTTCGATGGGGTGGAGGTCCGAGTGTTTGAAGGCTCTCCAAAACCCAATGAGCCACTGAGACGCAGTGTGGTCTACATCCACGGTGGAGGCTGGGCCTTGGCAAGTGCAAGTAGGTCCTGTCACCTTTGGGTGGTTTGGTATGTTGGTACCAGGGGTCATGTGATGGAGTCTGACTTTCTTGCTATGTAAGAAGGGGAGCACCAGGCCAGGCATGGTGGTGCAGGCCTTTAATCCCAGCACTTGGGAGGTAGAGGCAGGTGGATCTCTGTGAGTTTGAGGCCAGCCTGGTCTACATAGTGAGTTCCAGGACAGCTGGGGCTACAGGGAGACCCTGTTTCAAAAAAACCAAAAAAAAAAAAAAAAAAAAGAAGAGGACCACCAGTCTCAGTTTCCACTCATAACCATCATCCCAGCCACATTAGAATGCTCCTTTTTTACTCTAAAGGTGCTTGGTCTGAGGAATAATTAGATGATTCCTGTATAAAAAGGTTTTTGCCAGGGCTGGAGACTTGTCTCCACAGAACTGCTCTTGCAGAGGATCCAGGTTTGGTTCCCAGCACCCACATGGCAGGTAGCAACTATCCAGAACTCCAGTTTCAGGAGATTCAATGCCCTCTTCTGGCCTCTATGGGCATTGCACACATGTGGTACACTTACATATATGAAGATAGAACACTCATAAATACATAATTTTTTTTAAGTTTTTTTTGCTTACTGGCTTGTTTCTTAGAGCTGGATGATTGATTTGAAAATATTTCCTGGGCTGGAGGTATAGCTCAGTTGGAAAAGTGTTTGCCTAGCCTGCATCTGATCACAGCACACATACACTGGGTGTAGTGGTGTATACCTGTGCTCCTAGCACTTGGGAGGTAGAAACAGGAAAATTAGAATTTCAGGGTTTTCTACATAAGAGAATTTGAGGCCAGCCTGGGCTATAGATCTATCTCAAAAAAGTAAAATAAAATAAAATCCTGTGATGTAACTATTGTCATGTTTTAACGCTAGCTTTCTGCTCCATAAAAGGTGAGCTTTCACTGGGCTAGAATATGAGGGTTTATCTCTAACTCTTGTCAACCTTTGTTGTAAAGACATCTTTGATGAAATAGAGCTTGTGTGGCTTAATACACACATGAACTATCAGCATCAGCTTATGAAACTGAAGTTAAAATATCAAAGGTATGCAACCTTTGAAAGAAAACATTCTTGCCACGTGCAGGATATTTTCTTCAGAGATGAGTATCTTTTGTGAGCAGAGCAAGGTTAGAAGTGGCAGGCAGCACAGCCCAGCAGGTGACAGCCTCACTGTCAGGGCCTCTTCTCTACCTGCAGTGATCATGACTCTCCTTCCTTATCTTCAGCCCAGGCCTTTTGGCATTCCCTGTATTGAAAAACAGCAATGGGCCAGCAAGATGGCCTGGCAGGCAAAGACGCTTGCCACTAAGCCTGACAACCTGTGTTGGATACCCAGACCCACATGGTAGGAGAGAACCAGTTCCTCCAAGTTGTTCTCACACACACACACACACACACGCACACACACACAAATTAAATATAATTTTAGTAAAAGAAAGAAAGAGAAAGAAAAAAGAAAGAAAAACAATGAAAACTTGGTCTCTCATTATATCATTACAGGAAAAATGAAAGTATATAACTTCCTCTCCCAACACCATTTTATTTAGCTCCAAATCTATCGTTTATTTTGTCATTCACTAATTTTTTCACATTTTCAACACATATTCACTGAGTACATGAGTTTGAGTACAAAGGCTCCTAGTTCTGGGCAGACCTGGTCATTGGATTAATTACTTTTTTGTTACTATGATAAAATCCCTGACAAGAAGCAATTTAAGGAAAGGAGGGTTTATTTGTGCTTACAGTTCCAGGGCATACAGTCCATCATGGTGGGTGGTCATGGTGAGCAAACATCAGTTGGCTGGTCACACTGCCTCAGGAAGCCGAGAGCCGTGAGAGCTGGTGCTCAGCTCGCTTTCTCCTTTTTGTTCAGTCCATGTCTCTGGCCCATGAACTAGTGCCACCCATATGTCACAGACATGCCCAGAGTTTTGTCTCTTAGGTGATTCTAGATCCTGTCAAACTCACAATCAATCAATATTAATCTCCAAGGCTATGCTCATGAGTGCTACAGACAGGAGTCCCCAAGTGAATGGGACAGGGGCTCTGCCTTACAGGGAGTCTGCAGTGCTAGACCCTTGTCAGTGAGATGTCAGGTCCAAGACAGAAAGTGTGGGTGGCAGAATGCTGTGGGTTATGAGCATCAACCTGGCCTTTGTGCCTTCACTTTGGCTGATCTACTAGAGGAGGAGCTGGGGCTGGTGGATGTGTGCAGGGGGCATGTAGTCCTTAAACTTCTGGTCTAAGGCTACTTTGCAAAATACTTTAATTAAGGAAATACTAAGCCCTGTGCTGGAACAATCGATTTTTTTTTTTTCTGTTGTCATTGCTTGTAGCCTCATGTAGCCCAGGCTAGCCTCAAACTCACTGTGTCGCTGAGAACACTTTGGCTGATCTACTAGAGGAGGAGCTGGGGCTGGTGGATGTGTGCAGGGGGCATGTAGTCCTTAAACTTCTGGTCTAAGGCTACTTTGCAAAATACTTTAATTAAGGAAATACTAAGCCCTGTGCTGGAACAATCGATTTTTTTTTTTTTCTGTTGTCATTGCTTGTAGCCTCATGTAGCCCAGGCTAGCCTCAAACTCACTGTGTAGCTGAGAATGACCTTGAATGCCCCGTTTTCCTGCCTCCACCTCCTGAATACTGGAATACAGGTATGTGCCACCTTGCCCAGTTAATGGGGTGCTAGGGATTGAACCCAGGGCTTCCTGCATGCTAGGCTGTTACTCTACCAACTGAGCTATAATCCTTACTCCAATGGGTCTTAAAATTATTGGAAGAACAATTAAAATGTTAAATTACTTTTGTTCCTGAGGACCTTTGAGTTCAGTTCCTCCTTAGGAAATGCTAAGACTTCCTAAACTCTACTTCCTTATCTGTTGATTTAAAGAGAAACTGATAATTTTCTTGAATCACAGCAAATGAAGGTGTTAAAGTGCAAAATTTTATGATTCTAAGGAGGAAACTGCTTATTTGATGTGATTTGTTTTGAAAGGGTACATTTGATGAGCTGCAAAATCAGAATTAATTTCATGCATTTCATGTAGCCCATTATGAAATAAATGCTTAGTAAGTTAAAAATATATTCAAAACTGATCTAATATGGATTTCTTGTTAGTTATAATAATTACATTTTTATCAGAAAATCGATTTAATTTTTGCATTTGAATGTGCCTCTTATATTTGTTCTCCATTCTTTCTTTTCTTTTCCTTTCTTTCTAGTCCTTCCTCCCTCTGTCTTCATCTCTTCCTTCTCCTCCTCCCCCCTTCTTCCTCCTCCCCTTCTTCCTCCTCCTCCTCTTCCTCTCTCTCTCTCTCTCCTTCTCTCTCTCAGCTTTCAGTAGTTTTGCCTTTTATTGAATGCTGTGAATGTCAATACATTTTTTTTGCTGTTTTAGGCCAGGATCATATATAATATTCAACAATCCATAAAAATGAATAGTGTTAGAGATGGTCACCATGCACAGTAGGGTAACATTAAATAGTTTTGATTCTGTTCTTTATCTATAAAATTCAGGTCATTTTCCTGCATTATGACAAAACCGGTTGACATGGCCATATGGATGGGGGACGTTTCTTTGGGTCCCACCTCTAGATGAAAACAGTAGATGCTGAGGGAGGGAGAATCAGTTTTCTCTTTTGGTTTCCTTGAGGCTGGTCTCCATGCTGGCCTTAAACTCCTGATCTTCCTGTCTCTCTACCTCTCAGGTCCTGGGATTATAAGCATGTGCACCATGTCGGGCTTACATTCATCTTTCATTACATATTTTTATTATCTTAACTACCAAGTCTAAACACAACCTACATTCAGAAGAATTTAAGAACAGACAACCTGAAGGAGTATTTTGTAGTAATTCCTCTTGGTTCTTTCAGAAATCAGCTATTATGATGAACTGTGCACCACAATGGCAGAAGAACTGAATGCCGTCATCGTCTCCATCGAGTATGTGAATAAGGCTCATCACTTTTAAAAGATTTATTTTTATTTATGTGTATGTGTGTGTCTGTGGGTGGGTATGTGCATGTGAGTGCAGATGCCCACAGGGACCAGAAGAGGGTGTCAGACCCCTGGAGCTGGAGTTGGTTCTGGGCCACAAGATGTGGGTGCTTGGAACCAAACTCCAGTCCTCTGAAAGAGCAACAAACACTCTTAACCACTGAGCCTTCTCTCTAGCACCGTCCCTAGTCATAATTTTTCATTAAGAAAGGAATCACAAGTCTAATAACTTTGTGACAAAGATAAAATGCATTCTAAAATGTTGGGAATACTGATGTGTTACCATGCCTGGCTACTTAATATTTTTTTCTAACTAGCTTTATTAATGCATTGAATTACTTCATTTTTTAGCATTCTATTTGATTTGTGTGCGTATGTGCATGTCTGTGGGAGTGTATCCCACATGTGTGCAGGTGCTCACAGAAACCCAAGAGGGTTGTCACATCCCCTGGAGCTGGAGTTATAGGCTGTTGTGAGGCACCCAATATGGGTGCTGGGAACCCAACTCAGGTTCTCTGGAAGAGTAGCAATTGCTCTTAACCACTGAGCCATCTCTCCAGCCCCTAAGAACCTTATTTTAGAATATTTATTCATTTGCTTTTTGTTTCTATAGTGTTAGGAATCCAACTCTGCACCTTATGGACTTTAGTACCAAGTACCTTACTCCTGATGGCTTCGTGACTGTCTCCTTAGACTAGTTTTAGAAATTTTTGAAAAGAAATGAACTAGAAACTAGAACATATAAATTTGATAACTTTTTTCAACTAAAAATAATTAGGAATTTTAAGAAAAATCTCTCTTAGAGCCAATAATATTTTCTTAAGTCAGTTTCTATAAATCCTTGTGTTAAAAAAATTACTAGTCATGTAATTATTAGTAAAACTTGTGGTAATATTTTGCATGTCTCTTCCAGTTCTTTATAAATTATTCTCCCTAGCAACCAAGAAGTATGTGACTAATTTGATAGCTGTTGCCATGGTGATGACACAGCTTACATCTGTCCTGTGTGTAATGATTTTAAAGCTCTCTTCTCTCCTCTTGAGCTGTCGTCCCCCTGCCCCCCATGCAGGCCTTTCTTGGAAACCCCAGGGTAAATTCCAGCCACCTTCCTCTGTTTTATTTCGCTGGGGCCGTACATTTAACCTTTTGCATGTGTTTTTTGGGGGGTTGGGGGTGAGTGAAAGCAGGAGGCGATGGTGCTGGAGAGCTTCAGCTGTTAGCTTGACACATCTGGAAGGAGTGAACCTCAATTGGAGAACTTCCCTGGAGGCATATCTGTGAGATAGTATTAACTGTTGGTTGATGTGTGAGTCCCTAGCCTATTGTGGGGGTGTCACCCCTGGGCAGGTGTCCTGGGCTGTATAAGAAAGCGGGCTGAGCCAGGCGTGGTGGCCCACACCTTTACTCCCAGCATTCAGGAGGCAGAGGTAGGCAGATCTCTGTGAGTTCAAAGCCAGTCTGCTCTAGATAGTGAGTTCCAGGACAGCTGGGGCTACAGGGAGACCCTTTCTCAAAAAGACCAAAAAGAAAGAAAGAAAGAAAGGAAGGAAGGAAGGGAGGGAGGGAGGGAGGGAGGAAGGAAGGAAGGAAGGAAGGAAGGAAGGAAGGAAGGAAGGAAGGAAGGAAGGAAGGAAGGAAGGAAGGAAGAAAAGCTCACACAGATTTGCAAAGGAAGCAAAATAATTTTATTTGGAGCAAAAAGACAGTGCAGATTAAAGAGAGGTACAATGTCAAGATTGACAGCAGGCCACGTGAGTGATGATACTTGGGCCTATATTATTGTTCAGGGCTCCCTTTTATGGGGTTCAACAGAAGGCGTTGGTTACTAAGGGGTGTAGTTTGGGTGGTACTCCATTTTGATTGATAGACCAGGCTACCAGGGGTGGGGAAACTTATCCCATTCTTCAAAGATGGGAGTAGTATAACCTGACGCAGTTTGGGGGTCCCGGGTGTTCTGAGGTTGCTAGCTGCCTTATCTGGAGAGGGGTGTGTATGCATAGTACATGCAGGTGATGGAACTAGGCTGCCAAGTACATGATTACAAGAGGGAGGTGGTGTGTATAACCCAAAACCAAATGGGTCCCAGGGTACTAAACTGTCCCCTGTGCTTGCCTGTCACACACACACACACACACACACACACACACACACACACACTTGATAGGAGCATACAGCAGCACACACATGTACCCCCCACCAAAAAAACCAAACAAACAAACAAAACCAACTGATTTTCCATAGATGAGGAGATTGAGGCCCAAGAAATAGAAGCATCTACATGAGGTCAAATAGCTAACGCGACACATAGGCTGGTGGGGACCTGACCCCAGGTTAGAATCTTCAGAGGTCCCTGTGCCTTCCTGATCAGACATCAAGCCAGTATTGGAGGAAGCTGATGATGCCAAGTGACCAACGGTGCCAGGACCAGCTGCTGCGCCACCCAGGCTTATCCTGTTCTCCCTTCCCTCTCCTCCTCCTCCTCCTCCCTGTTCATGGCTTACTTCCCACTTGCCCCACTCCAGACCTGAGGTCTGAGGGAACCTGAGTCTGTATACAGGGCTGTGTTATAGTGGAGCAGGAGTCCTCACCCTGTGAACTAAAGCCAGGGTCGCACTGAGTGGGGCTGAGGCTGCCTCCTCTGCAGGTTTGGCTCCAGATGGCTCTAGACAGCTCCCAGGTGTTTCTGAACTGGCAGCCAGGCCTTCAGTCCCTCGAGGGCTCTTAGTGTGGTTTGATATTTCAGGAATCATCAGGTAAATGACTGTGTCTTCAGGCCTGGGCTGCTGGCCAAGGGACAGCAGGACTGTGTGAAGAGCTAAGCCCTAGAGCAAGGTTCTGGAGTGTGGCGTTGAACAAGCTTTGGGGCCTGCCAGTGGTTTCTGTGTACCTGTCATTACTCACAGGCCTAGAGCAGGAAGGAGGCTGGGCTTGCATCACTTGGCACCACGACTCTCCTTCACCATGTGGATTTACTGGCCCTCAGGACTTTTATATCAGCGAAGGCGGCAGTATCTCCTCCTTGCCCTTCTCTACCTCTCTCAGCCTCTGTCTCCAGTGAAACAGGTGTTCATTCACGTCTAGGCTTATCATAAAACATAGATAGATAAGAGGTGTTTAGAAAGATTTTTAAAAAGAGAACTCAAAGCAGGTGCTATGCACCATTAATCCCAGCACTCAGGGAGGCAGAGGCAGGTGGATCTCTATTGAGATCGAGGCCAGTCTGCTCTACATGGCGGGTTCCAGGTCAGCAGGGGCTCAGGGAGACCCTGGCTCAGAAGACAAACAAAAAAAGAGCCAAAAGTCAGAAGGAATTGCTGTCACCTTAACTTCCCATTGCTCTCGTAGAAGGACCTTCAGACATTTATCCACCGGGACGGACTCAGTGCAGGGGTCAGATACTGTCCCTTTGTCACCCTCAGCCAAGATGCTGAAATTTAGGAGCCAAATGAGGTTAGAAATGTTTCCTGGAAACGGAAAACAGGAATCCTGCACCTGGGCTCCCAGCACTTTGCAGAAGGCTGCAGTGTGCACACGAAATGGATGCATGCTGTTAGGGTAAGGACTGCACAGGGATCAGTTTAGACAGTTGGTGAAAAGGACTTTTGATTCCAATAGGTTTGTCCTACCTGCAGCCCCGTGGCCACACATGCCCCCGAATAGTTAAGAACGTAACTTGGTATAGTTACAGATGATGGCATCAGGATGCAGAGTCAAACAGTTGGACACCTTTTGAAGCACTGACCAAGTCTACACCATAGTAACGTAGCCACAGAGCAAAAGGGCAGTGTATAAATATATCAGTGAGTGTTTGGAATTCACAGCACATTTATTTTAGTCAGAAATAATGAGATAAGGTGGTTAGGGCCCAGGCTAGCCACAGAGAGCTTTCTATCCTGCGCTTTAGTTGAAGGACTGCCAGCATCTGACAGTGGGGCTTCACCTAGAAAGAATGTCCAGAGGTCTGACTTGGGAGCAGAGTTCTTTGCACTGGCTCGTCTTGTTCCTTTTCCTTCTGTTCCACGAAGAGTGATTGATTTCTCTTCTATGCTATTTATGGTGTCAAATTCTGGTGATGGAGCATCCGGCCCTCACAATCTAGAAAAGAACCCTTGAACTGGTAATGCTCTCAGTGCAGTGAGTAACGTGAAGCAGACTGGGAATTGTCACAGGCCTCCGTGAGGAAGACCGCGATTGTTTGAAGGTCAGAAAAGACATCTTCTAGGAAGTGATGCTTGGGGCTGGGGCTGCAGCTCAGTGGGTAGAGAGCTTGATCTCCCCGAGCCCCACCTTCTCAGCAGACAGGCTGTCTGCAGCCTCTTTCTGGTCCCCGGAAGTGGGGAGTGGCTTCATTCCTATCTTTGCTCCATGTGGATCATGGCCTTGGTAAAGTCTGTAATCTCAGGAAGCTGGCCAGCAAGGGCAGGGTGGCCTGCAAATGGACTCACCTCCTAGTGTGAGCACCAGGAGGTGGAATTCCTTCATTCCTAGGGCTGGTGCTAGCTCAGGGGTCAGGGACAGATCCAGCAGCTGAGGTAAAAGACGTGGAAGAAATGGGTAAAGCCTGGGCCTCATGCTTCGTGCCTTGTGTAGCGCTGTGCTGTTATTACATGCTAATCACATAGTATGTTTGACGAATGAACTAAAAAGTGTCATGTGTAAGTTACACGGATGTTTCCTTATTTACATAACCTAGGAAGTGTCTTATTTTATATTCATAAACTAACTTCATTGCAGGCTGGTTCCACCGTACTCCCAGTCACATTCCACCAAATGTCAGGTGGAACTCTGTAACCACAGCAAGAGCGAACACTCGAAGGTACAGGACGTGGTACCTGGCCTGCCTGGGCTCCTCCTAGGGCCCTGGGGAGTACCCTGGCTGTTTGCCTGTGAAGTTAAGGGTGAGGTTTGCCTCTGAACAGGGGAAGAGTTTAGATAAGCACCCGGAG